TTCTGTCGGTCTTCTGTCCATCCTGCCTTGCCCATCCAAGAGTTTCCTGTCTGAATTTCATTGCTATGTATCGCCGGCGGCCGCGGGATCAAACTCTGAGGGAGGCCGTGATCGCGGCCGCGGGGTCAAACTCGGAGGGCGGGCGCGAATAACTGTCTTGACGCCAGCTTTGGCTGGATTTAGGCTCGCCAAAGTTCAGATGCTGAACCCGTGCTAGGATACCCCAAAGACGTAAGGGGTCTTTTTCTTCCAATGGATGTACGACCTTCTCCTCCTCCATGAGGGCGGTCTACTGGATTCATTGCTGTGCCTCTTACTTTAGGCCTTTACCTCCGGCCGCGGTTGGCCGTGACTTTCAGGAATTGTTTTATACTTCAAACAATTCTAAAAAACAAAAACAAAAAATATGATGTTGTAAATCTTTTCGAGATCTAAATTGCACAATTTTCTATTTTATTTTTTGACTTCGTCTTTGAATTTTTAAAATTCCAAAACTGATTTTCCTAAGGCAAAAGCTTTTTTTTTTTTTCTTTTTCAGAAAAACTACGAAACTTATGTGTTTTTTTATTTTAAATTCAGTAAAGTTTTTGGACATGACCACAAGGCAAAAGTTGTTCAGAATATGTTTCTTCATAACATATGTTTTTTGCAGAATTTTTTTATTTTTTGTTTTTTTCATGGCTGTGGGGTCGCGGCCTTGGCCGTGGCCGCCTAGGGGGCAATCTTAGGAAGGAAGAGCTCTTGCACCCATAGGATCCAGGTAGATCTTCCCACTCTGAAATGAAAGAAGCAGGTAAGTGAAAGCTCACCCCAATCAGGTAAAGGGATATCCCACATCCGATTCCACAGGAAAAACGAAAGAGAAGAGCTCGTAGGAAGTCGACAGCGACCGAGATAGGGTAAACATTGATGAAACAAGAGACAAAAATAAAAACAGAAAGAAATCGATATGAAAAAACAATCAGCATGAGCGAGCAGCCTCAACGAATGTGACAAAAAAACAAGTGCAGGGGATTCTGAGGGAAGGAAGAGTGGACAACCCAAAGGGAAATGATTTTGCTTTCCACTGGGGAGCTGAAGGCGGGGGGATGGATTGTCAGTAAGTATGCGAATTCAATTCACTAATTATTTATTCCTTCCCTTTGCCTCCGCCCTCTCACCCACTCCGCTCACAGAGTAGAGGGCCGTATGGTAGGTGACTATCTCGTACTGCTGGCACATATATATATATAACTTCGGTTTGAACCTATAAATAAACATGGTGCACAACACCCTATATGCCTGCACAGCCCGCAATTGGTAGAGAAGGCCCACCCGTAAGCCTATAGAAGACTTTCAAAAAATGAATCTGGAACAAATGCAGCGCCAGCTTCACGATCAGGCAGGAAGCGACAGCAGGCCGGAATTAAGTGCCCACCGCCATATCAGACAGCCTGAAATTCCTGTGGGCCATCTATGTCCACCTGGACAACGTAGGGTTGTGATGCCCAACCTCACGCCCAGCGGGACTTCCTGAATCAGATCGGAGTGGGATGGGGGCCCGGAAGTGTAAAAAAGGGGTGTGCCAAGGATTTTAGGATAGTGGGGATGGAGTTCCAAGTCAGAACTCAAAACTCCTGTGGCAAGCCTTAGGGGCAATTATGCATGATAGTAAGCGCAAACCGCGTCCGACTTTTTTGCCTTGGGGGATGTCATCGCAATCCCCGAGAGTTTCTTTGCCGAGGCCGACTCGGATTTGGTGAACTAGTGGAACACTATGTGTGTCCCGTTGCCTAACCAATCGCCAGCGTCACTTGTGATAAGCCTCTGCGGGCCTCAGGTGCAGGTTGTGTGCTCGCTGTTCGGCCTCAGTCTGGGTTTGTCTAACGAACCCCCGGGCTCGGTACTCGCTGTCCTGCTAGCACTCGGAGCACAGGGTTCGAGGCCAGTAGGGGGCGAGTGTGTGGCGGACCCACCAGGTGTGGTGCTCCGCCAGGGATAGAGATGGAGATGGAGGAAGAAGGGGAGCGAGATGGCACAGCGCAGCTCCCACGCCAGACTCCAATGCACGTACTCCAAACTGCGCGAATGCAGAATGAGACCGAAAACAGACAACAGCTGGGGTATACCCCGGCGAACTGACCGGACTGGACTGGACTGGCTGGTACCGACAGAGGTACCGGTCTGGACTGGACTGCCCCGAATACAATATAGGACTGTGAGAACAGACCAAGGGGCTGGTCTGACAGGCCAACCAGAGGTCCGCTACACGATCCTCGGCCTGTGATGGATCGTCTAGATACAAGCACGCTTCCGCGAAGAAGCGGAACTCTACCAAAGAAAAAAGAAAACCTGAGTAGTCTAGGATGCGGAGCAAGCTGCATGTTGAGTCCATCCGACGCAACCTAGAATAGGAAATGTCACAAAAACAGCAATGTCACAACTAACAACCTAAGTGAAAGCAAAAGCAAGTAACTAGCATACATGTCTAAGGAAAGCAGAAATAAATGACAGGGAGGTCTTAGAATGTTAGACGCAGTAGCCTCAGTCTGAGAGCAACAAAGCAACAACTACATCCTTGAAATCCTAAGAACAGCAAAAGCAGACTAGTGTAGAAATCCTAAGAACAGTGTAGAAATCCTAAGAACAGCAAAAGCAGAACAACTACATCCTTGAAATGTCAGAGGCAGTAGCCTCAGTCTGAGAGCAACAAAGCAAAAACAGGACAATCATATGTCACATGAGAAGTGTGTCGCAAACCAAAGGGTGGGATGGTCTCTAAGGGTGGCGAATATAGCCTAGGGGTCGATTTCTCCTAAGAGCATCCACACATAGTGACCGGGAAACACATGCAATCAGGCTCAATGAGGGTACGGAACTCGGAGCAAACAGAACCAATGACCCTAATAGATTGACCATCGGGGCAGGTAATGCTCGACTAAAGGGGTGACTGCTATGGAGGGTCGACCATGCAGAGAACAAGAGAGCCTCGTATACTGGGCTCACCTAGATGAAGCATGTGGGGCTGCCTAACTAGGGCGTGAGGGCCGGCAAAGGGTAGAAGGGTGATGGGTAAGGAAATCATGCTAATGACTTCTAAAGTGAGGGAAATCGGAGCTAGATCCGTAAGCTGGGAAGTCAGGGCAACGCTACGGTCCCGATGCCTATGCGTATACCAAGGGAGAGCCCAACTCAGAGGAACCCGGTGAAGGGAGACCATCCTGCGAAACAACCAGGGTACTGTATGGGGTAAAGTGGTAAAAGAGTGATGACGTCTGAAGTAGGCAGAGATGATCGTAACGAAATCTGTGAAGCTGCCGATGACGTCGGCGATGAGAAGTCCGGAATGCCGTCGAGGAAGAGCCGCAACGTCGACGAGCTGAAGTGGCAAAACTGGAGTGGATGGAGTACTGAGAAATCAAAGACGTGGGAAGGTAAGTCAGGGAGTGAAAAGACAACATCTGCCATGGGGTTCTCATCAGGGAGTGAAAAGGCAACACGAGGTGGTAGGGTTCGAAGTCTGTCTCAATGATGACGACACTGGTTTTGGTGATGACGTCGCTTACATGTGAGTTAGGGAACAAGGAGGGAATAGGGATCGCGCTTAGGGCCCGTTCTATATCCCACTCACATACACGTTCATTTCCCTTCCGAAAGTGGAAGGTTGGGGCGGGGCTGTGTGAGAAGACATGCATTTTTCCACTCCCAGTGTTCTCAAAACCGTCGGTGTCTAAAGCTCTTTCGATCCGTGACATGGAAGGCTATGAATCCCTCGCGGTCGCAGTCGCCGCGGGCACGACCGCGCACTGCGGTCTCGGCCGCGAGGCCGCGGTCATGACCAAGTCGCACTCTTGAATGTTCGGTCTACCTGAAGTATTGCACGCTTCGCGTGAGAACAATCCAGGTGTCAAGACTGATGGGGATCGAACCCGCAACTTCCGCCTTGAGAGGGCGGTGCTCTAATCTCATTGAACTACAATCCCATTGTCATAGAAGAAAAAAAGTATTGCTTTATTCCTTACTACTTGTCCTTTAGCAGAAGAACTGTAAATAGTATTATTACTTTTACTACCATCGAGATAAATTTGGCCTCTTCCACGATTACCTCTTACATAAATAGGATATTTGAATAAAACACGATGAACTTTACCTATAATCCGTATTGATCAACTTCTACATCTTGGATGAAAGTTTTTACTTCCTATGGCAAT